TTTTTCTGATGCCTCTTTCCAAAACCCCTCTAATGTTCTGTTTCTATCTGTCTCAGAACTGTTTGCATGACTCTGGGATCACTACACATTTAGTTTCACCATGTTAGCCAGGATGGTCTCGATATCCTGACCTTGTGATCCACCCACCTCGGCCTCCCAAAGTGCTGGGATTACAGGCGTGAGCCACCGCGCCCGGCCCTCTTTTTTTTTTTTGAGACGGAGTCTCGCTCTGTGGCACAATCTCAGCTCACTGCAAGCTCCGCCTCCCAGGTTCAAGCAATTCTCTGCCTCAGTCTCCCAAGTAGCTGGGATTACAGGCGCCCGTCACCACACCTGGCTAACTTTTGTATTTTTAGTAGATACGGGATTTCACCATCTTGGCCAGGTTGGTCTTGAACCCCTGACGTCATGATCACCTGCCTTGGCCTCCCAAAGTGCTGGGATTACAGGCGTGAGCTACCGCATCCGGCTGAGATGGTACATTATATGTTATGTATATTTTACTGTAATTTTTTTCCTTCTTTCTCCAGGAACAAACTGGTTGATTGAGATTCTCTGCCTGATTCACTCCAACGGGGATCCCAAGTGGATCCAATCTGTGCCCATCTGGGAGAGATCACCCTGGGTAGAGACTGAGATGGGGTATAAATTACTCAGTGAAGAGGAGGGCCCACGTCTCTTCTCCTCCCACCTCCCCATCCAGTTATTCCCCAAGTCATTCTTCAGCTCCAAGGCCAAGGTCAGTGCATAATGGTTAAGACGTGTTTGATCAATGACTTTTTTTTTTTTTTGAGACGGAGTCTGGCTCTGTCGCCCAGGCTGGAGTGCAGTGGCCGGATCTCGGCTCACCGCAAGCTCCGCCTCCCGGGTTTACACCATTCTCCTGCCTCAGCCTCCCGAGTAGCTGGGACTACAGGCGCCCGCCACCTCGTCTGGCTAGTTTTTTGTATTTTTAGTAGAAACGGGGTTTCACCATGTTAGCCAGGATGGTCTCAATCTCCTGACCTCGTGATCCGCCCGTCTCGGCCTCCCAAAGTGCTGGAATTACAGGCTTGAGCCACCGTGATCAATGACTTTTAAACATTGATATGCCTAAAAGTCATCTGGAGATCTTGCTGAAATGCACTCTCCTTCAGCAGGCCTGTGTTGTTGAGACCTGAGATTCCGTATCAGGTGATGCCTATGAGGCTACTCCCAGAACGGTCCTTGAGTTCAAGGGTGTAGACCATTCCACAGATTACCCCAGCCAGATTTAAACCAGGGATAGGGTGAAACAATAATGCCAGAATCTTAGAAAACCAGGTTCTACACCCAACCAGAATGTATAGCCATATGATATTGCTAGATAACCACGTTTGGTTGCCCTAAAAATTAATTAGCCAATCCAAATTCAACAAATGCTTCCTGCCACATAAAAGACACAGAGGTGTTCCCATGGGAAGCAGCGCATTCATCAATCAATGCCTGTGTCCAGGGTGACTGCTCTGGTGCCATGCTGAGCTCTGTACCCACTTCGTCTTACTGTGTTTAGCTATGTGTTGATATCAGCAGCCACATGCATCTCCCATGGGGCTGAGGGGTGATCACAAGAGGGATTAGGCATAGCCCAGACCTTGCATGGCTCAGACTGCTTCTAGAATCATACTTTCCTGGAAGGTGTTTATTGGTGTGTGAAGTTTTTTTTTTTTTTTTTTTGAGACAGAATCTCGCTCTGTCACCCAGGCTGGAGTGCAGTGGCCGGATCTCAGCTCACTGCAAGCTCCGCCTCCCAGGTTCACGCCATTCTCCTGCCTCAGCCTGGGACTACAGGCGCCCGCCACCACGCCCGGCTAATTTTTTGTATTTTTAATAGAGACGGGGTTTCACCATGTTAGCCAGGATGGTCTCGATCTCCTGACCTCGTGATCCGCCCACCTCGGCCTCCCAAAGTGCTTGGATTACAGGCGTGAGCCACCGCGCCCGGCCTGTGGTTCTGTGGTTCGATCTTATCTCACTGCAACCTCCGCCCCCGCAGGTTTAAGTGATTCTCCTGCCTCAGTCTCCTGAGTAGCTGGGACTAGAGGTGTGCGCCACCATGCCTGGCTAACTTTTGTATTTTTAGTAGACACAGGGTTTCACTATGTTGGCCAGGCTGGTCTCGAACTCCTGACTTCGAGTGATTTGGCCTCCCGAAGTGCTGGGATTACAGGCATGAGCCACCATGCCCGGCCAAAGTCTGACTTTTTTCACTCAAAGTAATGTCTGTGAGATTTATCCATGATCTTGGGCATTGTACATGGATAATATTGCTACATATCTACGAATGTAGCTTAACTTATGAATTTATTCTCCTGTTAATGATCTTTAAACCATAGTACACAAATATACATCACTCACCTTTGGAAATCTTCCATTTGCTTCCCGTTGTGAGCGGACTGTAATATCCCAGAGGGAAGGAACGATGCTTCCTTCTTCCGTTGCTATATTCCTAGTGCTGTGACTGCTTCACAGGCACGTTAAATTCGATGAGTGAATGCAGTAAGTAATTTATTAAAATAATCCATTGATATTATCAGGCATTATCCAGGAATTGGCATTTTCTCCATTTTTATGAAGATACATAAGAGTGAGGAATGACTGTACTGATTTTTCATTCTCCCATTTTTCCGTGTAAGGTGATTTATCTCATGAGAAATCCCAGAGATGTTTTCGTGTCTGGTTATTTTTTCTGGAATAGCGTGAAGTTCGTTAAGAAACCAAAGTCATGGGAACAATATTTTGAATGGTTCTGTCAAGGAAATGGTGAGTGTTTTGCAAAATATGGGGGTGTCTGGAGTCTTCTATCCGATCTCATTTAACATCCAGCCTCACATCTCTAGGTCTCACCAACCCTTGGGTTGAAGGGTCCACCACCTCTGGAAGCCAAATCTGCTAAGTTTGCTTACTCTCCCGCATAGCAGCAGAACTCTAGTCACCCCCTCAGCTTGCCCCATGATAAACCATCCTAGCTATTTTCTAAGTCTCTAGAACCTCCAGTACTAGCACAGGAAACTTACATTCTCCTCTACTCTCCTAATGTGTAGATTTCTGGAAGTTAGTTTTTCACTGGCTTCCGGGACAACACAATCCTGACCTTCCGCCATATTTTTCTGATGCCTCTTTCCAAAACCCCTCTAATGTTCTGTTTCTATCTGTCTCAGAACTGTTTGCATGACTCTGGGATCACTACACATTTAGTTATGCAGAATTCCTGGGCTTTTTCACTACTTTCCAATTGATCTCAAAACTCTATGGGCCTGCATCTCAGCTGTGATGTGTCTCTCAGCAATACACCAGCTACAGATATCTCCATCAGAGAGAGCCACCGATGCCTCTGTTTCAGTACACTCAAATTTGCACACCTTTCTGGCCGGGTGCGGTGGCTCATGCCTGTAATCCCAACACTTTGGGAGGCCGAGGCCGGTGGATCACCTGAGGTCAGGAGTTCGAGACCAGCCTGGCCAACATAATGAAACCCTGTCTCTACTAAAATTACAAAAAATTAGCCGGGCATGGTGGTGGGCACCTGTAATCCCAGCTACTCTGGAGGCTGAGGCTTGAGAATCGCTTGAACCCGGGAGGCAGAGGTGGCAGTGAGCCAAGATCATGCCACTGCACTCCAGCCTGGGCAACAAAATCGAAACTCCATCTCAAAAAAAATTTTTTGAACACCTTTCTCCTATGGGCGAAATGGTTTCTAGTGCACCTTTACCTTACTCCACCCCTCACCCAAAGGCTAGCATGAGCCTAATATTTCATAAGCATCCTCTTTTCCCATCCCACTCCCCTGGACCCATCACCACTTTCCTTTCTCTAATTATTAATCAAGTCCTACCATCTTGATTAATATCTTCATTCTGGTCTCAGCACTTTGGGAGGCTGAGGCAGGCGGATCACCTGAGGTCAGGAGTTCAAGACCAGCCTGGCCAACATGGCAAAGCCCCATCTCTACTAAAAATACAAAAAATTAGCCGGGTGTGGTGTCATGTGCCTGTAGTCTCCAGCTACACGGGAGGCTAAGGCAGGAGAATCGCTTGAATCTAGGAGGCAGAGGTTTCAGCGAGCCGAGATCACTCCATGGCACTCCAACCTGGGTGACAGAGTGAGACTCTGTCTCAATAATAATAATTAATAACAATAATAATAATGTATTCCATACTTGACAAGTTCTAAGAGAGACCATCTTAAATGTTGTCACCGCCCCAACAAAAAACGGTAAGTATATGAGGAAATGAATATGTTAATTAGCTTGCTTCTGTCTCATATGGTTTGGCTGTGTCCCCACCCAAATCTCGTCTTGAATTGTAATCCCCATAATCCCTACATGTTGCAGAAGGGACCTGGTGGGAAGTGATTGGATCATGGTAGTTGTTTCCCCCGTGCCGTTCTCATGATAGTGAGTGAGTTCTCACGAGATCTGATGGTTTTTTTGTTTTTTGTTTTTTGTTTAGAGCTTTAGGGTTTTTTTTTTTAATTTTTCTTTTATACTTTAAAAAGGTATAGGGTGCATGTGCACAATGTGCAGGTTTGTTACATATGTATACATGTGCCATGTTGGTGTGCTGCACCCATTAACTCATCATTTACATTAGGTATATCTCCTAATGCTATCCCTCCTCCTCCCCCTACCCCACGACAGGCCACCATGTGTGATGTTCCCCACCCTGTGTCCAGGTGTTCTCATTGTTCAAGTCCCACCTATGAGTGAGAACATGCGGTGTTTGGTTTTCTGTCCTTGCGATAGTTTGCTCAGAATGATGGTTTCCCACTTCATCCATGCCCCTACAAAGGATATGAACTCATCCTTTTTTTGGCTGCATAGTATTCCATGGTGTATATGTGCCACACCTGAGATCTGATGGTTTTATAAGTGTCTGGCATTTCCCCTGCTGGCACTCACTTCTCCCTCCTGCTGCCTTGTGAGGAAGTAACCTTGCTTCCCCTTCCATGATTGTAAGTTTCCTGAGGCTCCCCTAGCCATGCTGAACTGTGAGTCAATTAGACCACTTTCCTTTGTGAATTACCCAGTCTTGGGCAGTTTTTCATAGCAGTGTGAAAACTGACTAATACACTGTCATTTCACAATGTATACATATTTCAAAACATTGTGTTATATACTGTAAACATATACCATTTGTTGGTACCCTTTGACCAAGTTTCATTCAAGTTTTGTCAATTATACGTTAACAAGCTGGTGGGGGAGTGAACATAATAGACTGGATGCTTGCCCTCATAAAATGTGTAACCTATCACTCTTTCTGCCACTCCATGCAGTGATCTATGGGTCATGGTTTGACCACATTCACGGCTGGATGCCTATGAGAGAGAAGAAAAACTTTCTGTTATTGAGTTACGAGGAGCTGAAACAGGTAACCCCATCATTTTTAGAGTCAGTGCACACCCTCTCACCATGTCCTTACTTCCCCTAAATTCTCTCCATCGCGCTGTGTCTTCATGCCACCCTCTCAGTTAAAGTGGAGCCTGGTGAAGAGTCACAAAGAGTGGGATTAACTCCCTGGTCTTCATTGCCCTGTTTCTGGTTGACCCTTGCCCAAGCTTCATGCTCCTTACTTCATCTTAAAACATCTAAGCCAGGCACTTTCGCTCACTCCTGTAATCCCAGCACTTTGGGATGCCGAGGCGGGTGGATCACGAGGTCAGGAGTTCAAAGCCAGCCTGGCCAAGATGGTGAAACACCATCTCTACTAAAAATACAAAAATTAGCCGGGCATGGTGGTGAGCACCTGTAATCCCAGCTACTCAGGAGGCTGAGGCAAGAGAATCGCTTGAACCTGGGAGGTGGAGTTTGCAGTGAGCCAAGATTGTGCCACTGCACTCTAGCCTGGGTGACAGAGCAAGATTCTGTCTCAAAAAAAAAAAAAAAAATCTAGAGAGCTTTTTTGGCACTGGTGCAGTGGCTCACACTTGTAATCCTGTAATCCCAGCAGTTTGGAAGGCCAAGGCAGGAGAATCACTTGAGGCCAGGAGTTTGAGACCAGCAAGATTCCAGTCTACAAAAGAAAAAAAAAATTAGCCAGATGTGGGGGTGCACACCTCTAATTCCAGCTACTCGGGAAGCCGAGGCCAGGGGAATCACTTGAGCCCATGAATTCGAGGCTGCAGTGAGCTATGATCACACCACTGCACTCCAGCCTGGGGCAGCAGAGCAAGACTCCAGCTCTAAAATTTAAAATAAGGAGCATGTTCCATGCATTGAGGCAGAGTATGATGTCTCCTGCTAGCACTGGTGTATGTAAAAATTTCTCTGGGTGAGACCTATTTTGCTGCTGATAACCAAGCATTGAGAGGCCACTGGAAGAGAGGACGGGACTGGGTAGAAGTGGTTTATTTCCAGAGATGGTTCCAAGTGTCTGACATCTCAGCTTGGCTGGTATGAACAGAAATGAAGGCATGCAATCAATTTATCTCACTATTCTGAGATCCAAGTACTGGAGTGAATAGTGACCTAGGGGAAAAGCTGTCAAATGATACTCAGAACCATTGAGTGATTAGGCCATTGAAAGAACAATTTGAGGCCGGGCTCAGTGGCTCACGCCTGTCATCTCAACACTTTGGGAGGCCAAGGCAGGTGGGTTGCTTGATTCCAGGAGTTTGAAACCAGCCTGGCCGACATAGCAAGACCCTGTCTCTACTAAAAATACAAAAAATTAGCCGGGCGTGGTGGCGGGCACCTGTGGTCCCAGCTATTCAGGAGGCTGAGGTAGGAGAATCACTTGAACCCGGGAGGAAGAGGTTGCGGTGAGCCGAGATAATGCAACTGCACTCTAGGCTAGGTGACAGAGTGAGACCCTGTCTCAAAAAAAAAAGAAAAAGAAAAAGAAGGTTGGGCACAGTGGCTCATACCTGTAACCTCAGCACTTTGGGAGGCCAAGGTCAGGAGTTCAAGACCAGCCTGGCCAACATGGTGAAACCCCATCTCTACCAAAAATAGAAAAAATTAGCCGGGCGTGGTGGCGCACACCTGTTGTGTCCCAGCTACTGAGGAGGCTGGAGGCAGGAGAACTGCTTGAACCCGGGAGGCGGAGGTTGCGCAGTGTGAGCCAAGATCACGCCATTGTACTCCACACCTGGGCAACGAGCAAGACTCTGTCTCAAAAATAAATAATAGTAATAATAAGAATTTTTTAAAAATAAAGAAGAAAAAAAGAACTTTGACCTATTAGTGGTATCTTACAGAAAATGAGAAGATAACACCAACATTGGATTTTGTTCTCCACCTGAGAGACATCACGCTCCACCCCTTCCTCTGGCTCCTACGGTCCAATCCCTCTAATGGCCTATGGCCTGAGCGATGAATTTCTTTTTTTTTTTTTCTTTCTTTTTTTTTTTTTGAGACAGGAAAAGTCTTCGCTCTGTTGCCAGGCTGGAGTACAGTGGCCACAGATCTTGGCTCACTACAACGCCTCCGCTCCGGGTTCAAGGCGATTCTTTCTGCCATGCTCCGAGTGTCTGGGATTACAAGGCGCCCACCACCACACCCAGCTAATTTTTGTGCAATTTTTTAGTAGAGATGGGGTTCACCATGTTGGCCAGGATGGTCTCGATCTATCCTAAACCTTGTGATCCGCCCCACCTTGGCCTCCCAAGTGCCTGGGGGATTAGAAGGCGTGAGCCACCCCACGCCGGCCTTTTTTTTTTTTTTTTTTTTTTTTTTTTTTTTTAGAGATGGAGTATCACTCTGTCGCCCAGGCTGGAGTGCAAGTGGCATGATCTCGGCTCACTGCAACCTCTGCCTCCGGCGTTCAATGCGATTCTCCTGCCTCAGCCTCCCTGAAAGGTAGCTGGGACTAACAG